CCAAGGGGGGGAGTTTCAAAAGCTCCTGGTGGTGGGGGGGTTTTTTTGTTTTTGGGAAAACGCGTGTGGGCCCACGTGTGTGTTTGTGTGAACATGTGTGTGTGTTGGTGTGCACGTGTGTGTTTGTGTGAACATGTGTGTGTGTGCGTTTGTGTTTGTTTGCGTCCGCACTCGTCACAGGTGTTTGTGCCGTGAATTGTGTTGTCGTGTGACCATTCCTTAACCCTATGTTGCCCGTTGCCCTGATCTTCCCTTTCCACCACACTTCTCAACACCCCCCCCCACCCGTCACAGGTTTCCTGATGCTTGCCGAGTCGCTGCTGAAGGTGTTTGACACGCGTCTGCAGCCGCACCTGCCGATGATGGTGGCCATCATGGTGCAGATGGCGCGCGAGGCCCACGCTCTGCTCGCCGTCGTGATGAGGTCGCCCCGCGCTACATCCGTGAACTCAGGATGATCCGCAAGCTCAGCATCCGCCGCCTCTGCAGCCTCTACAACTTCTTCAACGCGGTGCGTGGCGTGTGTGCGTGTGTGCGTGTGTGCGTGTGTGTGTATGTATGTGTGTGTAATAGGAGGGTGCACCGGAATTGGAGACATGCACGTGCGTCAATCAACCACACACGTGTATGCGGATCATGTGTTCGTCCGTCATTGCGCCTGCTCTGTCCTTCTTCCTACTGTGCACGTGTGCAGAAATTGCTGGAGCCGTTTGCGAGCGCGGTGCACGAGCACGTGATTGGGCCGCAGGTGGCGTCGCTGTATCACGAATGCTCAAACGCCGTCGTCCCCATCCTCCAACTCCTCATGTGAGCACACACCGCTGGGTGTTGATGAGGGCTACGCGCATTGGGGGTGTGGTTTCGGCCTCGTTTGTTGTTTGTGTTTTGATTCGCCTCCCTCCCATTTTGCCTCACGCAACGTGGCAAACCTGCCCCAAAATCCATGAATGCACAACCGTTCTCCCCTGACCACTCCTGTTTGTGATCCCTCTCAATACTCCTGTCCTTCTGCAGCACGTGGAGCGGGGATCCGAAAATGCACCGCATGAACAACACGGGACGATGGAGCGGTGGGACCAGCCCGAGGACATTCAAGAGCTGGGGAAATCGGTTCGTGCTCTGGTGTACTGTCACGTTGAGACGCCCGAAAGCCGGGAGGGGGGGGGGGGTAGTGGGGGGTGTTGTGCACACACACACACACACACACACACACACACACACACACACACACACACACACACACACACACACTTCTCGCGCTCTCTCCTTCATCACCCACCCACTTGTCTCTTTGTTCAGACGCACGACTTGATCCGCGGCATTATCGGGGCGAAGCACATATCCAGCGCCATGAGCGAAGAGAAGCACAAGGTCTGGCCGTATTGTTCTGCTCTTGCGCTTTGTCTTTGGGCTGTATTTGAGAGAGGAAAGGGTCATGGTGTGAGGGCGCATAGCACAGCCCTTTGTTGGGACTCACATCAATCACATGTCTGATGCATCGACCATGTTGTTGAAATCGTTTAGGTGTCGGCCAAGCGTGCTGTCAGACACCAGCGCGAGCAACAAGAGCTCATCACAAACCCGAAAAAGGTGTGTGTGTATTGTGTGTGTGTGCGTGTGTGTGTGTATG